GGGCATGGCCGACGAGGTCACCCGGTTCTCCGGGCTTCTAGATCATATTCTGGGTGGTCTTCTTTCTGGCCGATGAGAGCATGGCCGATGAGGGCACCCGGTTCTCCGGGCTTCTGGATCATATTCTGAGTAGACCTTTTCCTGGCCGATGAGGGCATGGCCGATGAGAGCATGGCCAATGAGGGCACCCGGTTCTCCGGGCTTCTGGATCACATTCTGGATAGATCTTTTCCCGGCGGATGAGGGCATGGCCGATGAGAGCATGGCCGATGAGGGAACCCGGTTCTCCGGGCTTCTGGATCACATTCTGGATAGATCTTTTCCTGGCCGATGAGGGCATGGCCGATGAGGGCATGGCCGACGAGGTCACCCAGTGATCATGGTACCTTCCGTTCTTCTGAGTATGTGGGTCCTGGGGCCTAGACCCATATACTCCATCAGAAGTATTTCAAGACACAAATCCAGGTTGGTTGTGAAGGACTATGCTCAGCAAGAAGGCATAGATTATGAGGAAACATTCTCACCAGTTGCCATGTTTGAAACTGTGAGGGCTGTCCTAGCTTTAGCTGCACAATGGAGACTACCTGTGTTTCAATTAGATGTGAAGTCAGCATTCTTAAATGGAGAACTTTAGGAGGAAGTGTTTGTTGAACAACCTCAGGGTTTTGAGAAGAAGAATGAACCTGAGAAGGTGTATAAGCTGAAGAAAGCACTTCATGGCTTAAAGCAGGCTCCAAGGGCATGGTACAGTATGATTGACTCATTTTTCATTACTAATGGATTCATTAGGAGTGATAATGAGCCAACACTTTACACAAAGAGGCAAGGTAATTTAAGGACCAGTTTAGTGTTGTTTGCCTTTATGTTGATGACATAGTATACTTTAGCTATTCAGAAAGTATGCTAGTAGATTTCAAGAATTCAATGAAGCAGAAGTTTGAAATGACTGACCTAGGAGTCCTACAATACTTTCTTGTCCTCGAAGTAAAGCAAAAAAAAGGAGGGAACTTTCTTGTGCCAAAGAAAGTATGTTATGGATTTGCTCAAAAGGTTTCATATGGAGAATTGTGAGATAGCCAAGACTCCTATGAATACCAATGAGAAGCTGCAAAAATGTGATGGAACTGAGAAAGCAAGTGAAAGACAATTCAAAAGTCTAGTTGGGGGACTGAACTACCTAACACACTAGACCTGACATTACACACAGTGTTAGTGTTGTGTCTAGGTATATGCATTGTCCAACTAAGCAACATTTTGGTGCAGCAAAAAGAATTCTGAGATATGTGGCTGGAACTCTTGAGCTTGGAGTATGGTATGAAAGTGTAAAACACTTTAAACTTAGAGGTTATACTGATAGTGATTGGGCACGTTGTGTTGATGATAGAAACAGCACCTCAAGCTCAGTGTTTGACCTTGGTTCTGGAGCTATTGCATGGAGTTCCAAGAAGCAAGATACACTGGCTTTGTCTACCTCAGAGGCAGAGTATATTGCTGCAGGAGCTGCAGCAAAACAAGCATTGTGGCTGATGAAATTACTGAAGGATTTGGGCTGTGAACAACAAGAAATTCCAGAGATTTGGTGTGACAACATGTCAACCATTGCAATGGCAAAGAACCCATTTTTTCATGCTAGAACAAAGCATATAGATGTACAACATCATTTTATTAAAAAGCTAATAGTTGAGGAGAAAATAGCTCTGCAATTCTGTGGAACTGAGTTTCAGAATGCTAATCTATTCATTAAGGCTTTGACTCAAGTTAAGCACCAGTTTTTCATGGAAAGGATTGGGATGACAAGCTTGGATCAAAGGGGGATGTTAAGCAAGTGATCAAGCCTGCATGCAAACGGGTTAAGTCCATGCATACGTAGAATATTACTTTATTCTTTATTATTATCATTATTAATAAGTCTAAGTGGTTAGCTGAAGTTTAGGCTTTTGATTTTGTCTTCATTTACTCACGTATTCGAATGTTTGGCTTAACTTAATTATAGGAGTTAGTTGTTATACATGCTTACTTAGTTTCATTCTTGTAAAGGCTATATAAAGCCTATTGATTATCAATAATATATATGATCTTGATAGCCTCTTTTCTTCTCCAGTTCTATATATATTCATATAGTTCTTCATAGGCTTTGAACAACAACTCGCAAAGTGATCAAGCGACACTATGACCACATACTCGGGAACTCCATTGCCTTAGTTACCCCAGTGACACTGTGACTGAGTGCACCGGTGAATCCACTGCCCATGTTCCGCCAGTGACATTGCCATCTCCGCCCCACTTGACCAATGATAGTCCCGTCTCCATCTCGGCTAGTGATCAAATGCTCCCATAATTCCCCGTCAGCCTCGTCACCCCCAACCAGCCCGAGCTGTGCCCACCATACCCATCGTAACACCACCACGTCCACTAGATAGATCTATCAACGCCCCCACTAGCCCCCACTATATTTTTCACTACCTCGCCTGTGACCATAATCATCGCCCTGTCCACTCTACCCTATTGACCCATGGGCCAATAGATGAACACTAGTCGCAAAACACAGGTCATCAACACCAATGCCACCGCCTCCATTCACTCTCGCCATCTGACGTGCACTCGTCGTTATGTGCACTCAAAATAAATAATCAATACAACACTAATACGTAGTATAGTGTAGTAAGGTTCGTATCCACAGGGAAAGGAATACTTTTCTTTTATATGAATAGTAACAAGGGGGGTTTAGATTTGTTTGGTTTAATAACACTAAGATAAACGACCTATATGAGTTTAATTCAATGAGATGGGGACTTGGTTTTGCTTTTATCCACTTAATGAAATGTTCGTCGATCCCGGTTATATCTTTAACTAGCTTCCTCTCGAATACTCAATCGAGGAGTATATCCAGTTCATCGAGGGTAGTTATTAATAACGAGATGCGTTCATTAATAAAACTTACTATCGAGTCAATATAGAACAAGCGCCGTATATTAACTTGATAGTAGCAATAAACTTAAGATGAAAACGATTGAGATTGATAACCTCAACACAAGCGGTTTATTGGTTCAATCAATATAATTAATTCCCCTTGGCATATTAACCATGAGATGCATGCATTAATATTCCAAGTTTACTACCGTTGAAAGGACCGGATTAATAACAAGCGTATTAACCGATCGATTCTAGTAATAATTAATATGAGAAACAATACTAGTTGATACTTTAAGTAATGTTTAAGATATTAACATGAAATATGAATAGGAATTAATTAATACTCAAGGAAGAATATTAAAATATATGAATCCTACTATGATTAATATCAAGATGTTAACTAATTGTCATCTTAGCAACACTCCCCAATATTATCATAGAGGAAGAAATAGCTATTACTATAACCAATGTCAAGATGTTAACTAATTGTCATCTTAGTAACACTCCCCAACTTTGATATAGAGATAGTATTTTGAAAGAAAGAATTAATATTCAAGGAAGAAGATTAAAGAAAATAACTCACAACTTACAAATTCATTAAGCTTCAAAGTAGCAAAACCAAGATGGAAGAGTTTAGCTCCTCATTTGGAGACTAAACATGATGAAAAATATAAAGAAAAAGCTATTCTATACTGAGCTTAGATGTACAAAGGAATTGGATATCAAATGGGAAGGAAAAGAGGTGTATTTATAGGTGTTTGGAGGTAGCAGGGTCATTTACCCGACCGGGTTTTTGAGAAACCCGATCGGGTTTCTTGAGTAATTGCCCGGAATGTTCATTAGTCACATCTACCCGATCGGGTTTTTGATTTACCCGATCGGGTAAAAGACAAATCTTTGCCAAATCTTCGCTCTGCATGTTAAATTGCCTCCAAATCAAATTTGATCTTCGGGTCAAGTCAAACCCGATCGGGTTTTTGGAAAACCCGGTCGGGTTTTTGACTATTTTCCCAAATTTTCACTTTTTGTTGTTCCCTTGCACTTTTCTTGAACCTTCCAGGATCCTTATGACGATCTTTACCTAGTTTAAGCTCAGAAAGTCCCTAATCTAAACAAATTACAACTATTTTACAAACTAAACTATTACACCAAAAGTGTGTAATTTCCAAAGTAAAAGTCAATCAAAACTAATTAAAAATACAAAAATAAACATGGAAATTACATGAATGTCACCATCACAAGTTGGGTGGAATCAAGTATTGTTGAACGAGAAGTAGAAACAAGGAGAAGAAGAGTAAGATGATGAAGACGAACCTAGATGATACTGATGCAGCTGGAAGACAGTGAAGGCGATGATGGTGTGTGTCAGCAGCAACGACGATGATGGAAGGATGAGCGACGATAGTAGCTGAAAGGCGGGCCGGTAAGGTGAGCGGTGATGGGCTGCTCACCAGATTGATGGCCGCCTGCTCTCCGGCGAAGCCGATAAACAGGGATTGGAGGTACGAAAGAGCGAATATGGAGTTAGGGTTATTTTAGGCATTTGATATTGATTGAATTCCTTTTTGTCTTAAACCAAAGTTTATTATAATTTTATCAAACAAAGCATGAAAAGTATGTCGGTTAAATGATAAATTTATTACTACATTTGTCTTATTTTATGTGTTTTGCTTTGGTTTTGCACAATAATTAATAAAGTGATTGAAAAGTAAAAGGTGTGGTTGAGATTTGTGTATAATAACGTGACACGTATTTGTTTTCGAAAAAGAAAATGTGACACTTATTTTGAGACAACATACAAAGAAAAATAAGATAGGTAAAATGTGACATTTATTTTGATCGAAAGAGATGATCAAGATATTGTGACGAAGAAAGAGATGTGGAAGCCAAATGCTAAATTTAAGATTTATTAACCTAAATGGGACTAAATTATTACTCAAATTCCTAAATAGGACCATACATAATTTTCACCCTAAAATAGGACCGAATGACATATTTACCTTTTTTCCATCCCCCTACGCATCTTGCGTCTTCTTCTTCCCCACCCCCCTGCGCATCTTCTTCTTCCCCTCCCCCTTGCGCACCTTCTTAACCCTTCCCCACACATCTCCTTCTCCTTCCATGTACATCTCTTCTTCCCCTTCGCACAACAACCAAACCTAGAAGCACAGTCATCACCGTCGTTGATGCGAAGTCCGTCGCGGTCCGCCGCCGTCACTGTCGAAGGTCTTCTTCTCTTTTTCGAAGGTCTGATTCTCTTCTTTGATTGTTCCCCCCTCTTCTCATGTTCTCTCTTCCCCAACTATATTTTTGGCAGAAATGTCAAGTTCAACTATGAAAATGCCATACAAATGACATTCTTATTCTACAGAAAAAATTGTATTTTTCTCTTCCCCTTTTGTTTTTGTCGCAGGTCTGATGCTTGGCCGGTTTATGCTAAAATTGCCATTTTTTTTCCTGAAAATGCCATCAAAATGGCATTCTTACTCTTCAAAAAATATTGTAATTCCCTTTAAAATGTCATTAAAATGGAATTCTCGACTCACTTTGACATTCTGAAAAAATGTTGACAACCGTGGCGGCAGTGGCCAGAGATAAAGCGGCTGAGGATGGATCTACACCGGTGGAGGCCGGATCTGCAGAGCCGGCGGCCAGATTTGAGAAGTCAACGACTAGAGGTGGCCAAATCTATGGCTTCGACGACCAGATCTGCAGCCGCAATGGCCTGATCTGCAACGGCGGCCAATTTTGAGACCTCGGCGGCGGTTTGCGAGCAGCGGTGGCCGGTGAGCAGCGGCCGGCGATCGGCGGAGGCCGGCAAGCGCGGCGACGGCAAGCGAGCAGCGGTCCGGCATTGGGTCTGTGGTTACCAAGCTTCAAGGATATATATTTGTCCAAATACAAATAATAACTCTTGTTTAGGGAATTTTTAGACTTTAGTCCTATTTTAACAATTAAAGATTGATTTAATCCTATTTGGGTAAATACCTCCAAATGTAATTGAAAGGTGGAAAGAGACAATCAAGATATTGTGGTGAAGAAAGAGATGCCAAAGCCAAATCCATTTATGACTAAACATACAACTATACATATTTTATGGGGTTTGAATTATATGTGCCAACGAATGGGATGATTGATGCATTACTATTGTGACTAAATACTATCCCCATTACTGATATATTGGATAAATGATCTTCTGATTTTTTTTGGCAATAACAGTCTTCTGATATTAAATGCTGCGCATTACAAGTAAACAAAAATGGTTGGGTGGTATATTATTCATTAATCCAAAATTAATGAGTCTACTTAATTAAATTGATTGTTTTAGCAAGATAAGGCAATTCGATTGAGCTCCAACGGTGCCAGCAGATGGGTGAAGATATAGTTGCTCCCCTACACTTTAATTTAATCGTGTCACGTGATATATAGACAGATTTAGGTGAAGCGTTTTTTTGGTATATCATAGGAGTAATTTGCTAGTTTGATGATTGGAGTAGGAATGCTTTTTGGATGGATATTGGATCGATTTCAATCTCATACCTAATTAATCAGATCAGGCAAGGATAATTGTAATATAGATATAATTATAAGTCATATAACATAGATATTTATCAGACATAACTATATCAGTTTAGATCAAATTTATTCAAATGAGATCATACGAGACCTGATTAAAAAATTACAATTCAATTAGAAACATCAAAGTGCCATGTTTAGTTTGAAGCACGTCGACGAAAAAGGGAACAATTTTCTCCAAGGCTCTTATGATTGTCTAATAGTCTAGAATTGATAACTTCCAATAAATTTTCAAAATAATATAGGGAACATAATTGTATGTAAATAACTTCCAATAAATTTTCAGAATTATACATAAATATCTTTGGCTTCGCTATATTTATATCAATATTACTGTATTAGTTGTGTTCACATTCTTCTCTTCTTTACATCCAAACAATGGAGGAGCTATAGAAAAAAACTATTTGTATAAACTTTTGTACACTCATCGGTGAACAAGCTACGTAGCAGTACGTATTTTTTATTTGTGAATAGCTTGTTCACAGACAAAACATGTGCACCAATGTTAGAAAAGTCATATTTATTAATAGCTAATATGCACTTTTATGTAACTTTAAACAATTTTGTCACATAGTAAAACTTTTAGCTGGAATTTAGGGCTTCGAGAACCAAGTAGGCTCTAAGATTAGTTGTTGATTCCTATACAATTAGGACGCGTTGATGATAAAGACCTCTCTTTAAGAAAAACGAGTTGAGAGGATTTCAGTTTGTTGCCTAGCCTGTAAGGTTGGTTCCATTTTGATTTAACGACTTAACTATTACGGAATACGGAGTATGGTATCTGTTGAAAAGTAAAGCTCTAATTAAAGTTGGAATGAATTAAATCGATAGAGTATTATTAAGCTTATTAATAAAGGTTGTGTCTGTATGCTTCTATCTTCTTTTGCTGGCAAACATAAATGCTTGGGGAGAACATTTTTGTCCTGCAAGTAGACAATAGGCGTAAACCGTTGAATCGGCCCTTCAGGCTCACGGTACACCTATGCAACATGAGCTCGTAAATTATAGCGTGAGATCGACATATTATGTGGTACATAGCACGCGGATCCTTGTTAACATACCTTGCAAGATCTTTAAAAATATAGTTTGCATTATCACAATCAAATCAACGTAGGGATAACCTTTATCAAGACTACCGTTTACCTCAAGCCACAAATTAAATGGGTTCCTCTTGATCCAAGTCGTGCGTGTACAACTAGCACCAGGTCCTACACACGTTACTCATAGAAACTCTTAAGCTTTACGTTTGCATTTTCCGACCTTAGTCACGGTAGATCTCCATCAACTGTAGACCAAACTTGATCTTATAGTTGGCTCACAACTTAAACTACCAAACTCTGGGCTGGTCTCACACTGACTATTAGATCCGAAGTCATCATCCGAAAATGGACAGCCCCGACCGGTGCTGGACATGCCTCAAGCAGCGTCGGACTTGCGTATATATATATTTTGACCGGAAACAGCCGTAACCGGCACCAGACTTATAGTTTTCTAAGCGCCCAAAACCGTCGTTTGCGACCGGCGCTCCCTATCGGTCCAAAAACTATACAACCGGCGCCAGACATAGCCTAACCAGCACCGGTCAACGGTGTACAATTTTGGTCAACTCTCGTTTGATCATCCAAACGGAGTCCAATTTAGAGGTTATATGTAACACTGTCCCCAAACATATTTTAATTTTTAGTAAATCAATAAATCATGTAATAAACTTTGAAGAATGAATATTATGAATTTGCGAAGTTGTAAATTTTTGTTATTTCTTTTGCGTGAATAGTGAATCGCACGTGGGGCCCACACCGGGAACGGGGACCGCCCGATAATTCCAGAACCACATATGATGTTCATCTTGGTCTAGATAATATGTATATGGTGGTGGACATTTTAGTTGGGCCATAGAAAAGGCATACAGTTGACCCGTTGGTCAAACGAGACCCAATTACCGGTATTGATAATTTATCGGATAACAGCCCGAAATGAATTTCGGAGACTTTTAAATTAAAGTTGAGGAAGGTACATCTATTCTAAAGGCCTATAATGATTAGGAACATGTGATATATTTTATTTGGCCCATATAATAAAATATAATTAAAACAGACCGAGAAATACAACTTTCGGGGCGGATTGTATACTTCTGGACAAAAAGGGTAACCTCCCACATGGGTGGGGGCCAACCCACGAATTTAGGCACACAAAATGAGAGATGGAGGAGCCAATTTGAGAGGAGGAAGGTGGGTAGAGGTTGGGTTGACTTGAGAGTCGTCTAAAAGGATAAAGGTGGGCCTCTCAACCCACACTATAATACTTGAGATTTAATTTAAACGGATTAATAGTACTACTCATACCAACAAGATGCATCTCCTTTTAAGGGAGCTCATCACCCAAGAACTTCAAAGATAAGCGAGCTTGCACGGGAGTAGTCTTGGGATGGGTGGCCCCTTGGGAATTTTCTCAGGGCGCGCACGAGTGAGGACAAAGTGTGCAGAAAAGGCTAGTGGCGGTTTGTGAGGACAGTACTAGAGGTCAGAAGTAACTACCTCGGGGCCTACGGAGCCGTGGTGTTACAGGTGGTATCAGAGCAACCCTGCGACAGTGTGTTGACCCGTTGGATATCGGGCAGGGCACTTAGCGGGGCAAGATTTTGAGATTCGATTGAGATTGTTAAGGGCACAACGAGGACGTTGCGATCCTAAGTGGGGGGTGATTGTAATACCCGAGATTAATTTAAGAGGATTAATAGTACTACTCATACCAACAGAGGTGCATCTCCTTTTAAGGGAGCTCCTTACCCAAGAACTCCAAAGTTAAGCGCGCTTGCACGGGGGTAGTCTTGGGATGGGTGACCCCCTGGGAAGTTTCTCAGGGCGCGCATGAGTGAGGATAAAGTGTGCGGTAAAGACTCGTGGTGATTTGTGGGGACAGTACTAGAGGACTAGAGTAACTACCTCGGGTCCATGTGGGGCCCCGGGGTGTTACACACACTTATTGCCTATTGAGACAAAAGAGCCAACTCCACCCCTCACCTCATCATTTTCGGCCAACACACCCCAATCAAGTGCAAGAAACCCTCCAGCCATCTCTCACCATTGTTGAAGGAAGCTCTAACAAGAAGGAAGCTCATGTAAAAAGTCCAAGTCCCAAAAAATGTACAAAACTTGAGAGAAACTAGGTAATTGCTTCATTTACCTTTTATTCTCTTTTTCTCGAATATATTATTATTTGAGAATGTTATGGAGAACCCTAAGATTGATCTACATGTTGATAAGTGTAGAATAAGGGGTTGGAAGGTAGTTCTAAGTCCAAGAACGGACTTAGATGCCAAAACGACCGGTTCGTCAGAAAATAAACTTTTAGAGGTTATTTGTGTTGATATGGGTTTTATGATGATAAGGTGTTCACCGGAGTTCCTAGTTGTCGCTGGGGTTTGTCACGGACTTATTCTCGGAGTCGTGACAGGTTTCAGCGGAGTTCACCGGAGTTTCGCTGGAGTTTCAATTCACCGGAGTTCAACCAAGAAGGGTAGAACTTCTTAAAGCTCATTTGAGGTAAGGATGAACGACTATATTGCTTATAGTTAGTGAGTTAATTCCATAAGATTACCTAAAGTATTAAATGTGATTTTCATGGATTATTAATGATTAATAATGCCTAAATGAAAATACCATTGTATATGAGTAAATATAGCATGATATACAAATTTGGAAGAAATTGTGTATGATTGTGTATTATGAATATGATGACATGATAATGAAATAAATTGTGAAAGATTGTGATAAAATATGCTTTTACTTCATGTATAGAATTCATGAATGGATAAAAGTGATATTTTTGATATTAAGTGTTAATCATATTTGAATTGGAAAATCGATTGAGAGGAACAATATGATTATGAATTTGAACGTGGTTGTTCTATAAAATTTGCTTAGTATTGAAATACTAGCTGAAATGTTAGTATGAAAATTGATAGAATAAACCCTAAGGGCTTGGATTATGAAATATGTACCTTAAGTAGTCTTATGAGATACTTTAAGGTAGGAATGTGTAAATGCTAAGTTAAGCTAGTAGTAGGCCTCAAAGGCTACTCAATATAAAGTGATTCTGGGCATAGGAGTTGCTTAAGAAACTAAATGATTATGATTAGAGGAAGCATCTAACATATGGAAAGGTGACTAGAGGAAGCCTCTAGCACAACGTAAGATACCTAGAGTCAGCCTCTAGTATAATGAAGAGTGATTAGAGGAAGTCTCTAACACAACGAGAAATGACTAGAGGAAGCCTCTAGCATATTGTACAACGACTAAAGTCAGCCTCTAGCACGAAATGGAGTGATTAGAGTCAGCCTCTAACACGACGGATTTACGTAGGTGAGTGTGACTCTACTATAGTGAAAAGACGAGATAAGGTAAGCATGGGCCCACAGGCCGACTACTTGACCTTATATATAAGGTAAGTA